ACGCATCCAAAATAGATGTGAACAATGTTTATTGGATTCATACATTGGTGTTAAAAGCCAGAGAAGCCGGGGAATGTGTTGAAATAACTCCATTCTACTATCATGTACTGACATTTTTGCAACCTTCAGCTGTTTCAGTGTAACTGACTTCTACAGTGCAAATAATGCTGGGGGGGGGGGGGGGGGGGAGAGAGATGGTGGGAACTCTGTTAATGCCGTGTGATCCGGGGCGGGAGAAGTGCGTCTTCCTGGTGAGTCGTGTGTCATCAAGAAATCTGCCATGCGGTAACCAAGCAACGGCACATAAAGCCGAGGCCTCGCCGCCTCACCCTCATTCTGTCACGCATGTAAATCTGTCAGGTCCAGGGCGACAACACACATGCTAACTCCACAAAAAGACACGTGCAGCCCTCAGCATCTTCCCTCGGACTCGTCCCCTCCCCACCAAAAAATGGTGTTGGCGTAATCAGATTAAATTCAGGAGCTAATTTGCTGCCGTCGATGCGTGCCTCAGTAGCACAGATCCATAACTTATCGAAAGCTGATTAACGCACCAACCCTCCTGCTTGTGCCTACTCGGAACGCCGAGCTGTGCGGTTGTCAGGATTGCTTAAGCGTGAACGGACGACCGAGGCATCCTGACGTGAGAGCTGCGCGTTAACGCTCACTCCTGTCACCACAAGCTCTCACCACAGTGACACCTCCAGCTGGGCTTTACATTTTTAAATGTATCACAATAGCACAACAGTTACTGTACTACGGGTGTTTAAATGAAGGCTGTGCTGATATGCAGGCTGATTGTCCGGAGACAATGACAAGATTGGGTCTCCACAGTGACTGCTGTGTCCAGGCACTGAAGGTCATTTCAGGATGCAGCTGCTTCTGACCTTTGACCCCTCCAGCAGAACCTCCAAATCTTCTGTGCGTCCAAATACTGATAGTACCATACTATTTAGTATGCTAGACAATATTTAGTATGTCTTAATACATAGTATATTTCAAATACAGTATGCCAAAAGTACCAGGATGTCTTTATGCAGCCGGTGGTATTTAGGAGTATGCAAGCCAGCATGATTGTATGCCTATTCTGATCCACATTCCTGTGTGCAGCGGGTATATGAGCAAGAAGGTCAAAGTTCAAGGTGCAATACCATGATGAAGTAGTATCCAAGTCCCTCCCCTTTTGGTTTGACCCATGGGACGTGATATTGGGAAAAATATGTCCGCTAGTCAACAGTGAGAGACTAACTTTTTTTTTTGATCCCGTTATATCATATCTTTGCCAATATAAAAGATCATGTTTGCAAGTCAAGAAAGTCGCAGTTTGTCGTATCTTTTTTGAAACCGCTCAGTGAACTAAATCTCTCGTCTCCCAAAATATTGTCACCAACACTGGCTAGCTAAGCTAAGCTATGTTCCACGCAGTGGTGGGCCGTCAGGGCCAGCAAGGCCTTCTCTGCTGGCCTAAACAGAATCACAAAGTTGTGGCCTACAAGTACGTCAGCATTAACGTGCAGCGTGATTGGTCAGTGAGCTAGCGTGACTGTTTTGAAGCTGAAGCTAGCAGAACAGTTCAAGTTGAAAGATATGTAAGGAGTTATGCCATTGACATGACATTTTTAGCGTTTTGCTCGGTGTAGCTTTGTTTTTTTAACACTCAATGGCTGAAGGAGGAGGAGAAACGGATTTGGGAGTTACTGGCAACACCTTTCTGGAGAAGAGCAGCAACACCACACCATAGCACGACAGGACACTTACAAGCTACGCTGCTTTTGAAAACTTTTGGTGAGACCCGAGTGGCTCTACAATCATGTTCGCAGGAGGACCTCTTACTGGAACTGAACCGCACCGATGTTCTGTACAACCGCGTCATTAAATTGACAAACATGTGTAATTCATACCACAATTAAAACGCCATCTCCTACTGTGCACGTTTCTCCTGAAATGAGGTCCCATGGGGGACACCGGAAAGCTCGTGACTTAGCTTCTATGTTGAACGTATACTGCAAGCAGCAGTTTGTACTTTGTAAGGGCATAAAGGGCAGTTATCTACTAAAACTCTTTTAATCAGATATTGAAGCTCTGTGTTGCTCCCTTTGAGGACTCAGACTGTATAAAGCCTCCCGGCGGGGAAGTCTGGAAGTCAGGCGACATACAAAAATGTTCCCCAAACCGGCTAATGAGCATTTTTTTCTTTTCTTTTTTGAGCCAGTGAGGAGACTAACTGAGTGCGGCGGAGGGAGGGAGGGAGGGAAGGGGACCTCTGCAGCGGGCCCCGTCTCGTGCTGCCGTAGCAGGGCGGTTAAACCGGAGCTGGCGTGATACGTCCTGACAGCGGCACAGTCTTGGCCACGAGCACAAACCGCCTCGCTTACGTAACCAGCCCATTGTTACCGCCCACGTTGCTGTCATTAAAAATCCATAGGAATCACATCAAAGTCTACAAGACGAGTTTTGAATGAGCGGGATCAGAAGATAAAGCCAGTAAACTGGTGTCGTCTCATCCCAGTCTGTAGATGATGGTGGAGGGGGAGCGAGGAGGCGGCACAGTTGAACCCAGCTGACACAGCACACCCCTTCACACCTTTAAGCCTCTGCTGACACTTCACCACCTGTTCCTGGCACTTTTGCGATCAAAAGATGATCACTGGAGGACTTTATTTATAGCTCGTGAAGAGACTGGGCCTTTTTTAGTACAGAGGCGAGACACTTTAAAAAAAAATAAAAAAAAATAGAGCATCAGTTCACAGCCGGTTTGTCTCGTGACCCGTCTTCACAGGCTGATCACGCAGCGCTGAATAGTTTAAAATCAAAAGGACTATTTTCTCTGTTCGCGTTGTTTGACGCGATTCCAGGAGACAGGGAAGCTGAAACATGACTCTGCGTTTTAGAAAGAAGACAAAACCTGTTGTAGTGACGACACGTTTTCCGTCCTGGAAGCCTAAAAACACCAGACACCTGGATGGCACTTTGAGCAAAGGCATTCATCTTAATACAATACTCAAATGTACACCGAATTAGTTCTAGGTCACTTTAATCATTCATCCTGTTCATATATTTTTCTTGTTCATTTGTATATTCCATGTATGTACGTTGAAAGCAATGTGTAAACCGGAGTCAAATTCCATGTATGTGCCATTAAAGCCGATTCAGACTCTGGCCATGATGAAATCCCTTCATAGTGTCCCCCACGATTAGACATTAGAGACAACATCTACAGTGCGTTTGTGCAAAACAGCATAAAAAACAAAAAGAATTCAAAGAAAAAATGTCAAAACAACATGTTTTTTTCACAGAACTGTGGATTTCATTCCCTCATCTCGTCCATTGTGAGCGCCTTAATAAGGAATCTGTAAATGGCCAGTATAAACAGTGGAAATGATTAGAGTGAGCAAAACGATTCCACTGTATATCAGAGTAGGACTTGGGAAATGTGAACCCACCCTTTAGTATAGTCATCCTAATCTCAAATATTTCATGTTCTGGTTTGAAAAGTGTTCTTAAGATCTCCATTTTGGAACCTGGATGGGCCAGACCCTCTTTATCAACTATTACCATTACGGCTAAATATTCAACTTCCTGCTGTTGAACATTTCCACCAAGGACTCGCGGGGTTATTTAAAAAAATCCAATACGTCAAACCCTGAGACAGTGTGCTCTCCGATCCTCACACACCCACATACACGCTGATACAATGATGCAGGTGTTTCCACGCTGTTCAGATGGAATGATTTATTCATAATCATGGTAGCATAATAAAACGATGAACATTGAAAGCACTGACAGTTGAACCCAAGGCCTCTCACACACAGCATGCACCACCCCGACCCCAGCGTTCACAGAGACACTGAACGTTCCTAACGCCAAGAGAAAGTCCTCCTTTTGTTGTTTTGTATTCTCCGCCCTAGTCAGTTTTTTCCTTGTTCGGTCTTTTTTTTTTTTTTTTTTTTGAATCCTTTAAATATATTTTGATATAAAAACGAGCCCACATATGATGAATCAACCATGTTTGTGAACTGCCTCTCCCCCATCTCCCGTTATTGTCCTGCACCCCTCCTCAGTCCTGCAGACTGTATCGGCTAGAGGACAAACATGATACTGGCCCCCTAAATCCTCTCTCTTCCTGTTCACGCTCTCTTCATGGACACGTGGTACAAAAAAAACAAACTCCCAGTCTGATAGGGTGATGATGGAGGTGCAGGAGATGGCACTAAAATAATAAAACGGTTCGTTAACCTCCCTGAAAAAAAATGAAAGCAATAAAAAAAGATCTCTTAAAAAAGCAATAAAAAAAGAAATATTTCGAACTACAACAGTCCAGTTGAAAGACGTGCTGGAGGGAAGTGTGGAGCTCTGTAGACTGGAGGCACTTTAGCACAGAGCGAAGGCCCCACGCCTGACACCACGCCGAGGGGAGAAAGGGAGAGAGGGAAGGATGGAATGACGAGAGCTGGGCTGAATTTATGCAGAGCAACACTGCGATGCAGAGATCCAGGAATGATGGTGGGGGAGGGGGGGAAGAAAGAGCACCTGACAAACATGGAGGAAAAAGGGCCAGCCTCCCCTCCAGTTAATGCCATGTTCAGGAGAGGAGGGGGGGAAAAAAAACAAGAGCAAAAAAGGGATCTTCCAGGTGGAGGAGGAAGAGGAACTTGGACTAGGAGAGAGGAGAGAGAGAGAGAGAGAGGCAGTGGCCCGTCGAGAGGAGAGGAAACAGTCTGGCAAAAGCTTTACAACACAAACAGGGAAACGGTCCTTGTGTGGAGGCAGAGGGCGGCCGGCGGGAACGCCTTAGGTCAAAGGTGGGGGGGGGGGGGGGG